TAGACTCAGACACGAGCCTGAAGCCTTACAGCCTGGTGCGCCCTGTGGTGGTGAAGAGACCCCGTCCTGTCGTGCTGTCACCTCACTGCATTGCACCACGGCTCATCAGGAACCTGCTGGACTTGCCCACCTCTCGCCTGGACTTCCATGTGTGCCCAGCAGGTAGGCAGCGATGGGTGGTTTACATGCTTTAGGAGTTCAAGGAGCCTGTGCCTTAGTGAGGTAAGGTGCACAAGTCTCCCACTTCCCAAGGCTGCTTTTTTCTTTTACCATATGGTGGGAAGCTAAGATGCTGCTAAAGCAGGTCACTTCTGTGGAGGCCTTTGTCAGTCCATATCAGGGAAGAGCTGCTCTGAGTCCTGGAAGCATGAGATGCTGTCTCATGGATCTCCTGGAGAGGACATGAGGTATCTCTTCAGCAGCCAGCTGTGGGGGACTTTCAGTCTTCCCAGGCAACACATGTTGACAGGTCATCTTTTTGGACTGTCTGCAAGACATTCCCTTGTATTTTCAATTGTGTCTTATGTCTTTGGCCCAAAGGAAAACCAGTCCTCCCTTTGGATCTTCTGGGTCATAGGGATCCTCTCTCTTCCCTTGGGTGGGTGGTGGTGGCGTTGCCTTGCTGCTCTGGGTGGCTCTTCCCAGACCCTGGCTGAGGTGGGATCTGCAGGTTCATAGAATCATTGGATGGTCTAGGTTGGAAGAGACCTTAAAGATCATCCAGTTGCAACCCCCCTGCCATAGGCAGGGACACCTTCTGCTAGACCAGGTTGCTCAAAGCCCCATCCAACCTGGCCTTGAACACTTCCAAGGAGGAGGCATCCAGAACTTCCCTGGGCAGCCTGTTCCAATGTCTCACCACCCTCACAGTAAACGATTTCTCCCCAGTATTTATGGGTCCATGTCCTTCTTGTGGTGGGGGCCCCAGAAACTGGACACAGTACTCTGAGAGTAGAGTAGAGGGGCAGAACCACCTCCCTTGGCCTGCTGGCCGTGCTGCTTTTGATGCAGCTCAGGACACAGTTGGCTTTTTGGGCTGCAGATGCACAGATTGACTTCATACCAGCTCTTCCTTCCTGGGGGGCAAGAAGATCCAGTCTTATTGCTGTTGTCCTCTCCCTCCTGCCAGCAGCATGATGCTGACACACTGCTGCAGAGGCTACTGGGGAAAGGGCTTTTCTCCCATAGGGAATTTCGACAAGAGGAGAGCTCCTTTCCTCCTTCCTCCTCTCTTCTCTAACTCTCTCCTTTCCCCGCGTTTCGAGTTCTTCCTTTTCCAGCTGCAGGACTGAAAAATAAGTATGTGTGTTTTTTGGAGGGGAGGTAGTGAAAAATCTCTGGTTTGCTGAAGAAGGATGGTGCTGCAAATTTCTGCTTCTGGGCTCCTTGTCTGAGTGCCTTGGCCATATTTCCTGCCCTGCTGAGCCCCCTGCAGGGTCCTCCTCACATTGCCTGGGGACTTGCTTCCGAGCTGGAACTGCAACTGGGGACTTCACAGCCAGGGCGAAAACTCTGTTCTCCCTTGTCAGTTTTGCTTGTTGCGAGGGAATAAAGGTGATCCGGGAGCCCTGAGCGATTTCTCTTCTCTTTGCTGCTTATGTTTTTCCCGTGGAGAACTCCACGGCCAGTGCAGAGTCAGTATAAGCCAGCCCAGCTTTCACAGGAACCTGCTGCCCTTGGAGGAAGCAAATGGATTTGTGGGATCCAGCTCTACCTGGGAAGTACCTGTGCTACCAGGCAGAGGTAGCAGAGGATGTCCAGCCAGCCTGAGGCTTGGGGGAGCTGGGACATGCTCTGGACCCAGTTCCAGAGAGCAGGTTCTCTGTTGGTGTTTCTCCTGCCTGGCGTTGTCTTGGCTGCTGGATGTGTCCTTCTCCCTCTGAGCAGCAGGAGGTGGCTCAGGCTGTCACCAACAAAAGGAGGTTCAACTTGCCTCTCATCTTTCTCCCACACCAAGATGCACTCTCCTTTTGCTTCCCCAATCCTTCCACTCCCTGGAACCGTCTACAAGCCCATGCAGCTCACAAACCCTGCAGAAGACCTACTAGGCAGAATCAAGTGGTTGTTTTTCTGCTGTACTCTGTTATGGAGGGGATGGGACAGTGTGGCAGTGGGGAAAGGGGGGTATAATGGCTGTGAGCTGGATCAGGCTGCTGGGGTACAGCAACGCAAGTGCTGCTCTTGCCCTGCAAGGTGTCTTCAGCTGTGTTATCTTGCTTGTTCTGTAGGCAGAAAGCTGCAGGAGATCCATGCCAATGTGTAATGTTGTATAACTAAGCTTGCCCTCCAGAATCCATAAACACTGAACTCGATAAAGCATCAGCAAACATACAGGATCTGAGGTAGAAAGTACATGCAGCAAGGGGCTGATGTCTCCCTTTTTTTTGTCTTCTCTTGGCTCACAGAGAAGCTGGCAGAAGGGGATCTCAGCACAACCCACACTCAGGAGCACCCTGTGTCTAGAACTACCCCCCAGGACCGGAGGGAGAGCGGGAGAATCTGCATGATCCGGGAGGTGATGGAGAAGGTGCTGAGCTGTTTGGTGTGGGGACAGAGGGCCAGGGTGGAGCACCCTGTTCAGGCTGGGGGAGAGGAGGAGACAGCTGAGGGAGAAGGGAGGATGGTGTGCTGATAGAGAAGGAGTTGCTTGCTTGGGAGCAGTGTAATTTGAAGGATGTTTTAGGTCCAAGTGCTGTGGGGTTGTGGAGCTGTAGATGGAGACTTTTCCCTGAGTTTCTGTTGAGCTCAGGTGAAAGAAATGGCAACTGGGATTCGTGGGGGAGACAGTGGGAAATGCCATGTGCAGAAGTGACCTTCCTGCCCTCACATGCCTCATCTTTGCCAAAGAGGCAACAGCTCTGCTCAGGGTAGAGGGAGAAATGTGGGGTTGTGGGTGACAATGATGACAAAGGTGTTGTGAAGGTGGGCTGTGGCTGAGCGAGGGGTCCAGTGGGCTCTTGGGTTGAGTTGGTGGTGATGGAGCAGGTGACCCTGCTCTTTAGTTCTCCCCTTCCCTCTTGACACTGTCCATAAATTGCACATTTAATGGACTTACTATTAGAAAAGCAATGGTATTTCACAGAATGGGGTTTGATTTAATGTAACTGTCAGGGGATGGGGTTATTTTTTTCTCCATTTAAATCAGTAAATCTGTTCAATTTCCCTTCCAGAATAAACACTGCCTGCTAGAGCTGGGAGTTCAGTGTGTGAGGGATCTAATTAGAAGTGAAATATACCCCATTGTTATCCATGTCGAGGTCACTGAGAAGAATGTTAGAGGACTCAGGTAAGAGAAGACAGTAGTGTCATGAGGGGAGAGAGAAACCCTCATCTCTGTTCAGAGGGAGAGACATAGTCTGGGTGAGACCAGTTGCTGTGTTTGTGTTGGGATTGGCTGCTGCGAGAAGGAAAAAGGGCAGGAAAATTGGTTTTGTGTACTTGTGAGGGAGTTTCTGGGTGTTTTTAGAATAATAGAACCATAGAACGTTTTGGGTTGGAAGGGACCTATAAAGGTCATCTATTCCAACCTCTCTACAATAAACAGGGACCTCTCCAACTAGACCAGATTGCTCAGAGCCCCATCAGGCCTGACCTTCAGTGTCTCCAGGGATGAGGCCTTCACCACCTCTCTAGGCAACCTGTTTCAGTGATCCACCACCCTCATATTAAAGAACTTATTCCTAATGTCCAACCTAAATCTACCCTTCTCTAGCTTAAAACCATTGCCCCTTGTCCTGTCATTAGATCCCTTGTGAACAGCTCTTCTCCGGCCTTACAGGCTCCTTTCAGGTATTGGAAGGTGCTATAACACTTCTCCTTCTTTCCCTTTTCCACACTGAACAACCACAACATAAGAGAGGTGCTCCAGCCCTCTGATCATTTTCATTGCTCTCCTCTGGACACACTCCAACAGGTCTATGTCCTTCTTGTGTTGGGGGCTCCAGAACTGTACACAGCACTCCAGGTGGGGTCTCTCCAGAGCAGAGTAGAGGGGCAGAAGCACCTCTCTTGATCTGCTGGCCGCACTTCTTTTAATGCAGCCCAGGATGTGGTTGGCCCTCTGGGCTGCAGTGGCACATTGGTGGCTCATGTTGAGCTTCTCATCCACTAGTACCCCCAGGACTTTTTCCACAGGGCTGCTGTCTAGCATATCTTCCCGCAGCCTGTATAGGTATATCTGGTTGTCCTGGCCCAGGTGCAGGACCCTGCACTTGGCCTTGTTGAACCTCATGAGGTTCACCTGGGCTCACTACTCCAGCTTGTCCAGGTCCCTCTGGATGGCATCCCATCCCTCTGGCATATCCACTGCACCACCCGGCTTGGTGTCATCAGCAAACTTGCTGAGGTTGCTCTCAATGCCACTGTCAGTATCGTTAATGAAGATGTTAAACAACGCTGGCCCCAGTACGGACCCCTGAGGGACACCACTTGTTACTGTTTTCCACTGGGACATTGAGCCACTGACCACTACTCTCTGGGTGTGACCATCCAGCCAATTCCTTATCCACTGAACTGTCCACCCCACCTCTCTGTGCCAAGGGTAACACTCGTCTGTGTGTTTTCCCCAGGAGTTTGCTGGGAAAGGCAGGCCAGCGGGACTCGGAGGTGCTGAAGGTGTGCCGTGGGGCTGAGCAGGCTCTCCACGCGCTGCCCTGCTCCTGGGCCCGCGTGGAGCCCCATGCCTGGAGCCGCGCTGAGGAGCTGCCCAGGCTGGTCCGGGGATGCATCTTCCAGGAGCAAAACCGCCCGCTGTGGACTGAGGAGTGTGATGACTGAACTGGGGGTACCAGCGTGGGCACTGCCAGCTGCCAGCCCCAAGAGATGTTCTCAGAGGCCCAAGCCTCCCCAAGCTCTTTCAGGTAGCGTGTCCTTCCTCCCCAGGAGGATGCTGGCAGCAAAGGCCCTCAGGGGCAGCCTTTCTAGTCCCCTTGAGGCCACCAGGAGCTGAGGAGGAACACATGCTGCCTCCCCATCTCAGCTTCCTGTATTTTAGTGGAGAGATGTCTTCCACCATCGTGGTGGGAAACACCCTTGTGGGCTGTTCCCCAACACCTCGGGCTGCCTTTGTCTCTGATACACGGTCAGATTGCCAGATGGGAAACGCAGGGGAACGGCGTGGGATCAGGCTGTGTGGGAACATCTCTCTCACACACGTTGGTGTGTCCCTCCTCCCATCACCTCTGTCTTCCCTGCCCCATGGCACCATTTGCTCTGGATCTCTTCTTCCCCTGTCTACCTCACCTCCAGTCCCACGGCACAGGGAGCAGAGCTCACGTGCCAGCACCACGGCTGGAATGACACTAAGCTTGCAACAAACCCTTGTTTTATAGGAGCTGTACTCCTTCTTGCTTGTAAATTATTAATGGAGCCTTTTATTGGCAAACCCCATAAAAAGGAGAATTAAATACTATTCATAATGGGAATGGGTGGCAGGCTGTGGGCTTGTGTGTTACTGGGAAGCTTTGAGTGGTGCATGAGGGGGTATTTTTCTCCTCTGAGCCCTCCAGGGAAAGGAGGAAGCGCTACTTTTGCTGTTGTAGGGCAGCAAGAGAGGACAGCCTGAGTGTGCCACAGACCAAGCCCCCTCCTCTTTCTACATATCCCCATTTTTCAGTCTCTTGCCTCTGCCCAGTGCCCGTGTTGGCCAGGTTGCCCTAGGAAAGCCAGGGAAAAACTCACTTGATGTGTCTGGCTGAGTTCCCTAGAGCTTCACATCCTTCAGTGCCCTGGCTTCTGTGAAGTGACAAAGCCAGCTACCTCATCCTCCTGGGCGCAACAGTGAGACTGAGCCTAACCCCACTGTGCCCCTTCAATGGGGCCTGTTCTCACCCTGGCATGGGGCCAAGCATGGGTTCAGGCTCTGAGACAAGGAAAACAGAGGGCTGGGGCAGCAGCAGCCCTACTCGCCCACCCTAGCACAGTCCTGACTCCTAACCATTTGCCATTATCAGCCCTGCTATGGCAAAGGGGTGCCAGGCTACCCACCCTATGGAGGGGTGGTGGTTGTGGTGGTTGATGGTCTTTCCTGGGACGTGCAAGAGGAAAACTGAGTCTATGGCTCTGGGAGGCTCCGTGGGGCACAAAGTCAGTCAGGCTGCTGAGCCCACTGGTCCTGGGGTCAATGGGAAAAGATGGGCAACCAGCACCAGAGCCAAGCCCTTCCTATGTCCTACTTGCCCCTGCAATTTGGGCACTGCTAGTGTCACGCACATTTGAAGCTCTCAGTAAAGATTAACTTGCTGATCTTCACGGGTCCCCTGTGAGGTGTTATTTCAGGCTCTAAACCAGTTGCCTGTGTCTTTTATGAGGACGAGACTGAAGCAGGGAGAAAGAAGGAAAGAAAAGGGAAATGATTTTAACTTACAGTTACTAAAATGTAGAGCAAAGTCCCAGCTCTGCCCTGAAGCGATGCAGGGAAAGGGGGAGCTGGTGTAACACATGGCTCCAGGTGAAAGCTCCCAAATGACACTCACTCCAGAGGCTGCAGCCTGAGCATCCTGACACAGCCAGACCTCTGGGAGGGTTCTTGCCCTGCAGGCAAACAGAGGGGTAGTCTTGTTGAGATGATGAGAAGTCCCAAGGCAATCTCCCATTCACCCTGGCATGGATTTGGAGACTAGAGTTTGTATCTTCACAGGAAAAAAAAGTAGTGCTTGGGTATGCAGGGAAAATGCTCTGCATGAGGCTCTCTGATTCAGGGCTTGGCAACTCCTCCAGCCTCTGCTGGCACTGGGAACCACCCCCAGCCCTATGGCCTAAGCTGAGGGTGATTACTAGCAAGCCCCCCCATTTTGGGCAGTCTCTGTGCTCCCTCCCATCTTGGCACTTGTGAGCTCCCCCCTAATAAACAGGTGTCCCCCTGTACCTCTCTGGACCAGCAGTGTTGCAAGCTGGAGAGAAAGGAAGGCAAAAGAAGGTTGCTGGAAGGCAGGTTGGCACTGCCTGGCTCTCCAAGCAGCAGGCAGCACAGCCTTACCTGCTCCCAGGCTTCTTTCAGGGCCTGTCTTTATCTGTAATGTTTCCCCTAAGGCTTTTGAAATCCACCTTCAACTGGTTCTGGACACGGGTGAGAAACAGGGCAGAAGCCTGCAAGGCAAACATAAATGACCCCCTCAGTGCCCTGGTCACCCCAGTCCACCTTTATAACCCCTGGAGGTGCGGCTGCCTGCTTAGAGGAATGAGTCACGGGTTAGGTAACAGGCAGAAGCAATTAGCAGCCCTGGGCACCAATTACCAGCTGTAACAGCCTTGTGTGAGCCCCTGTAACAAGTCACCTGGAGCAAGATTTCTCCCTCCAGGCAGGGGACTGGCAAGGCTGTGTGTGTGTGTCACCCTGGGATGCCACCAGCTCTCTCCAGGCTGCCACCCTGCAGCAATTTGGGGTCTCTGTCCCATGCAACCCCTGACGAGGGGTCAGCCAGTCCCACACCCCAGTTCAGGATTGGGCACTGAATGCCCCTCCCATCCCTGGCACCCCAGAAGTAGGAGGTGTCTCACAGTGCAAGATGCAAGCTGTGCTCACCTTGTTCTGGGTTGCACATGGTTGGCTCTGACCTGTTATACTTCCTGGCATCATGCTCCATACAACGTAGCTTTGAGTAGTATTTGTATGTCTTCTAGGGATGTTCCTGAGGATTGTCTGCCCTTGTCCCTCTTCCCCTCCTGGATTATTCCCTAGGCTGGGGCTGGGAGGTCCTGGGGGATGCCTGGGAGCCACAGAAGCTGCCTTTACAGGTGCCTAGGGATGCTGGTGTGCAGCCTAAGTTCTCAGAAAGGTGAACTTCTGGTTCAGGAGCAGTGGCAAGCCATGGGAGCAGTCCCAGAACTTTGTGCTGAGGCAGCGGATAGGTCACAGCAGCTTCCCAATCCTGCAGTAATGTAAGGCCTGAAAGTGAATGACTCCCCCCCTGCCCCAAATCAGTGTAAGAAAGCACTCCTACTCCAACTAAAAATAAAACCTGCAGGGACCCTCCAGAGGGATATGGGAGATGCTCTGGAGATGTTCTTGCTTCAGGGGAAGGCTAGGAGTCCTGGAGACTCAGCGAAATACATAGGAGGAGGAGGGAGAAGTGGATTCAGTGGTTTCTTCCTTACAAAAGAAGTAAGTTGTAGCCAGGGACATGGCTGGGGTGAAAGTGTGTGTCCAAGGTCTGGGGAAGCTAAGTACATGGTTTTAGCCCTGCAGGGAGGTCTACTCTGTGTACCTGGAAAGCATCTGTGTCCAAACACATGGTAGGAATGTGGAAAAGAGGGACTGTAATCCCTGCCCTGACCCCCTTTTCTAAGGTCGCATGATCTGACAAGTGCACGGGGGAGGGGGGTCCTTTGCCACATGATGCTATTTCCCTTTCCCCCATTTCCCCTGGGTCCCCATCTTACGACTTTTTCTATTTATCTTTTTGGTATGCTGAGATGGAATGCCCACAGCTCTGAGCTCCCTGAGGAGGCGCCCTGATTCTGGCAGCCTATGTAGAGCAATCCCATCCTGCTGTCCCCACATTCGCTGCACAGGGAAGCTGGGGTGGGGGTGCAGGTATCATCCCCTTCCTGGGCTGGTTGCTCCTCTGTAACCCCCAGCTGCTCTGTGAAGTGGCCTAGAGGTAGTGTGAAGGAGACCTTCATGGTCATCCACTCCATATCCAGCTGAAACAGCAACAGCATGCAGCAATCTGTGGTGCTGACCCTAAAAATTCCTGTCTGTGATGCTCTTTGACCAGGCTGGGGGGTAGCCAGGCTCTCGTGCCTTTTGTGAGTCTCTGATACCTCTCTTCTTGAAGAAATCCTTCTCCATGCACGACTTGCTCAAGTATGCTTCGCATCTTCTGTGTCATGGTCCCAGACTGCCCTCCTGGCCTCTTTGGCCTTGCTGAGAGATACACAGCCATGCCCAAAGCTCTGTGTGTGGTAGTGGTGGTGAAGGGAGCTGGAGCTGCCAGTTTGCTGTCGTGCCTGTGGGGCTCTCTGAGGTTCTCCATGAAGGGAAAGGACACGTCTTTCCTTGCCTGAGGAAGGGGAAAAACAAGCATAATCTTGAACAGCACTAGAACCACAAGGGACAAGTGTCTGAGCTCAGCCGGGCTACGGGGGGTGAGGACCTGGGTGGGATATAAACCTGATGGTAAATGCTGAGCCATGGGCATGGAGAGGGAGGTGGCAGGCTCTCCCTCTCACTCTGGTGCTGGTGTACCTGTTGCTGTGAGTGTCACTGGCTCTGCAGCCACCTGTGCAGCAGGTGGTCCACAGGTATCCCCGGTGGGGATGTGAGATGGGCTGTGGGGGAGGGATGGTGGCTGGGAACAGCAGGAAACCTCTAGTAGTCAAGGTCAGGGTTTGGGGAGATGGGTGTCAGAAGTGGGGGTCGGACCCTGGTTTGAGACTCTGGGACATATGAGGGGGGTGGGGGAGCAGCAGGGGACACACAGTCCTGCTCTGGGGAGGCTGTGTGGGGTTAAAGGGCAGGGGTGCCAATTTAGAGCAGTGCACCCAGGAAAAGTCTGGTGCTGGAATTCCCGGGAAAACATCTTTCTTCCCAAGAACAAGATGAGACCCCAGTGCCTTAACTTGACCTGAACCTGCATCCGAGCCTCACCTCCCACAAGAGCACAGGGCTGAGCAGGGCTGCAGGATCAGGCTGGACCGGCACAGAGGAGCGGGAAAAAACAGTCAAGCAACAAGTTTGTCCTCTGCTTTGTCACCTCCCAGTTATCCCAGCCTGGCCGTGCCCTGGTGAGACAAACCCACCGCCAGACCCGGGGCTCCCCCGTCTCCATCCTCCACCCTCCTTCATCCTCTTCCTCCCC